TCTACCCCTCAGCTTGTCAATAACTCAACTGAACGTTCATTGGCCTTTGTGCATGTTCGGATTCCTGAGCTTCCGATCTACATTCAGAGCGCAGCTCCCGCCTGGACTCGACACATTCGAATTCGATTGACATAAAACGCTGGCTTGGCTCTTAGCTACGATGCTCCCCTTTGAGCCTAGCGTCTTGCGGTGTGATACCAAACTGTGAGAGACAAGTGAGGGAACTTGAAAAACGGGGGGAAAAAAACGCTGGACCAACTTTCTCATGACCCAGACCCGAATCGAACGGGTGTCTTCCGCAGAAACATGTTCGCCACAATCGAAGGCTGAGCGGATGCGAGACCACTTCGCCGCTGGGTCTGTATCCAAATATCCCAGCTCGAATAGGATCCATGGCGGGGCATCCGAAAGTCCAATATCACAGGACACGGTTTGTGCCAGTCTGTGAGCTCTGGCCCACGAAAAAAAGGCCATAAGCACCCCTGAGCGCTCGCCTCTGCGCCTTGTCGGATTTATGAATTGCTTCTACTTAACTTGGCTGATACCGAATTGAATTGTGAGAAAAATGAGGGAACTTATAAAAATATTCGGTACCGAGACATGACCCAGACCCAATCGAACGGGCGTCCTCCGCAGAATATTGTTGTTTCGACACCAACACAGTAAGTGCGCGATACCACTTCGCCACTGGTCCACACTACTACTGAAGCTGAGTACTAGTTTGAGTAGCAACCATCCCCGGCGGGGACACAATGAGCAGCATCACGGTACATGGCACGGTAAAATTTGCGGTAGATTGATATAAACCCAACAGAGCAGATTTCGCTTTCCCATGCACCTAGAGCGAATAACCCCAACCGAGCCTTCAAAAAAGTGAGAGTAAAAAGGTATGACCCAGACCCGAATCGAACGGGTGTCTTCCGCAGAAACTCAAGTTCTGTATGCGGAAAGTCTGGCAGATGCGATACCACTTCGCCACTGGGTCCATAGCACCTGAAACCGAGCTCGAATATTGTTATGGACCTGGCAAGCTGTCCGCTGAAGCCTTCCTGGACCCGGAATTCGAAAGAGCGATCACATTTTTCTTATTTTTCTTCCCCATTTACTTTGATTCTGCCAGACACGAAGACCAGCCAGGAAGTGGAGGATTAATTGCACAAGTGCGGCTCGGCGTCACCGTGTAAGGGTAGGAATTCGAGATCCGAGTCCATGGCCAGTGAGTAGTGACTCTTTGTGGTTGCTCTGCGGCGTGGACGGAGATGTGAAACAGTTTGAGGAGAGCCGGTGGCAGCTCCCAGTCTCAGAGCTACCAGCTGAGACACAGTAATCAAGCCACGTTGAGAAGGATGGCCTTGAGTGCCGAGAATTGGTCAAGGGAGAGGAACGCAAAGAGTTGCGTACTTTTCGCCCCACGACTTTGACTTCACGTGATCTAGCCGCTCGGCACATTTGAAACTCCGTCCCTTGACGCCAGAAGACTCGGGGTGGCACTTTATGACATAGTCCAGTCGCGGCTAAGCAGCAGGAGGGTATTTGAGTGGCACAGTAGATTCAAAATGAGGACGTTTAGATTCAATACAATAAGTGCTACAGAACAATTGCACACTACATGTAGATAAATGCCTCGACGCGTCGTTCGACGCGCCGACGCGATCTCCGACGCGTCGAGGGATAAAACGGACGGTGAGTACAATATAGGACGTATATTGAAATAATCGCGGCGCGGGGAAGACCGATCGTGGCGCATGGAAGGGGAGCTGTCTCGCGACGCGGGGAGACCGATAGGCGCGCGGCGACGCCGAGGCGGCAAAGGCGAGCGGAACGGAAGCGAGACCTCGACGTTCTAGCAACCCGACATGGCGCTGGCAGGGAATGGGGAGAAGAGCTTACCCGAAGATAAATATCGCCGTAGCGTTGCCACCACCTGTCCGATGACAGCCCGAGAGTCTGACGTCGACTTCGCCGTGGCGGCGGCAAGGCGACGGGGCACGACGAGGATGCAGGGATAAGAGAGGGAGGGCGGCGATGGTGTGAGTGCGGGCCTGGGATGTGTCGGGGGGTCGGGGTCGGGGTGGTGGTACGGAAGAGAGAGGCGTTACAACAATGGTCAGCGGAGCTTCAAATGTTTCCAGGCCGCCGACATGCCGCTCACGTGCGTCTCAAGGGCGAAAGTCAAAAACTGCTGCCACCGCATTTTTGACGGGACCGAACCCCTTGGCGGATCCGCGTCTCGCTACGTCCAAGGCTCCAAAACAGCAGACCAATGCAGTGTCGTGCCAGGCATGTGGTAACTAACACTCCAGCAGCTGCGATCCCGCGTTGAACCACGGATCTCGCTTCGTACACTTTTCCCTTGACGATATCCCCTCACCAGGATGACTTCCGTATATTACACGGCACGGCAATCGACTGAAACCCATCCGCGGCAGCATCAGTAGTGTGTCACAGCTGGACTTTTCATTCCCAAATAGCGTCTCTCCGGGCGCTCTCAGTGTTTCGAGTACCTCGAGTGTCTATCTTGTGGTTTGTGTGTTCTCTGTATTTTCCTGATGTCTTTCAATGATTTAGCGGCTTTCATCTCATTTCCACCGGACACCATCTCCGAAGAGTTTCATGCCTGGCCACCACCCGATTGAATCGGAGATGTGGACACTTGGGCGGGCGCTTAGTGCCGGAACGGCGCTTAATTGTAACCAGGTGAGCGATCCAATTCGAATGTGGCGCAGAACCTGATGTTTTTTTGTCCGGTGACTGATTGTATCAGCCAAGTGCTTTGCCCATCGTATGTTCACAGGATAAGTTGAGAACGGTGGCTCATCTAGTCCGATACCCCTGCTCGACTCGATGCGCGTCGATGCAGAGGCAAAATGCTCGCTGGGCCTGGGTCAGAGATTAAATGTGGTTGTAGTCAATTCCTTGGCGCCGACGAGAATCATCGATTGCTATCAGCGTATCACTCGAGAGTCTAGGACGGGTCCAAACTTAGCGGTTGAACTCCCACGCAGCTATGAGATAAGGAAGCGCCAGATCCGCGCTTCCTTACCCTCGCGCACAAAATGGCCCCTCAGCCATCCATAGCTCAAATCCGCTTCGAGCACATCTTAACCTCTCTGAATGGTGCTGTGGCAACGTTGGAGCTTCTCTCTGACGCCCTAAAAGTGCCGTTTTTGGGATCCATCACAAACACAACACAGTCTCTCCTGACTGCTGTACAGGTTAATTTCTGCACCTTCGCGTGAATATCTCTCAAACCACTCAGACCGTAAAACGGAACAAGGACGATTGTACGCAGATGCTGGAGCAAATCCACGAGTTATTGTATGCAATCATCCGGCTGCACATGAATTCGAATACAGGTGGTTTTTTGTCACCGCAAATGTTGAACCATTTGGGGAAGTTTACGGCGTGAGCTCAGACTTAATTCTCGCTCGCCATTGCTCATTGATTGATAGAACCCTCCACAAGATACACACCTTTGTTGAGGCCCAGCGGGAGAAAAGCCCGCTGAAACAATTCTTCCGCCAAGGCGAAATGAGCACACTACTCAAGCAGTGCCAGACGGGACTGCAACAAGCACTCGAGGGATTCAAGGCGCGGTTTTTTATTCTTTTTCGTCCCTCATTAAATGGAGGGAAATAGGTTGAGTATGTCGCAGTTTTGAAGGACGCGCTGGAGATGCAACGCGATGCACAAAAGCCCACGATGAAGTGCTGGAGTTGATTTCATCGCTGTCGGATAGCAATAATTCCGATGATGCATTTTCTGTGTGTAATCGTCTCAAATTTTCATAACGCCTTCGTTCACTTTCTCCGTAGATCAAGAACATATTTTCCACCGCACACAACAGGTATTTCGTTACATCTGCGGTTATATCCTGTTCCTGACACGCCCAAGCTCAAACTCACTTTCATTACTCCCTTCGAAGCCGAAGATATTCCACGGTCGCGACTCAGACCTCTCAGCAATCATCCAATCCTTTTTTGAAGAGATCCCCCGGATAGCAATCCTTGGGGCCGGCGGGATGGGAAAGACGAGTCTCTCAAAAGCTGTTCTGCATCACCCAGATATTGCAGCTCGCTACGACCGCGAGCGCGTCTTCATTGCCTGTGACACTGTCTCCACTAGCATTCAACTTGCCGGCCTTATTGGAGTGCATCTGGGATTGAAACCTGGAAATGATCTTACTCTGCGAGTCGTCCAATACTTTTCACGCAATCCACCATCTCTCTTGATTCTGGACAACCTCGAGACGATTTGGGAACCCACCGAGTCTCGGGGAGAGGTTGAGAAGTTTTTGGCCCTGCTCACAGATATTCAGCATCTAGCATTGATTGTGAGCCCAAACGTGTCCGTTTCCTGACAGAACTAAAGAATCCTGAAATAGATCACGATGCGAGGGGCCGAACGACCGGCCCATGTGCGCTGGACCCGACCCTTTCTACAGCCTTTGAAACCCTTGACGCAGTCTGCTGCTCGACAGACCTTTGTTGAGATAACAGATAATCTGGATGACGCGGAAGCCATTGACAAGATCCTGTGTCTTTCTGATAATATGCCGCTGGCAATCAACCTCCTGGCGAATCTGGTTGACTGTGAAGGGATTTCTACTGTGCTGGCTCGCTGGGAAACAGAGAGCACATCCCTGATCTCTCAGGGCTGTGATGCAAATTCTAACTTGGAACTGTCGATCTCATTGTCTCTCTCATCACCTCGGATCCTGTCTTTGCCTCATGCACGTGATCTTTTAAGCCTCGTTTCAATCCTACCAGATGGACTTTCTGATGTTGAGTTGATCCAAAGCAAGCTTCCTCTTGTGAATGTCCTGTCGTGCAAGTCCGCTTTGCTCAGCACAGCACTGGCCTACATTGATGACCAGAAAAGGCTCAAAGCATTGGCACCTATCCGGGAATATGTGCAGAGACAACACTACCCGGGGAATGACCTCATCCACCCTCTTCTGAAATATTTTCAAGGCCTCCTGGAGCAGTATAGAGAAACACACGGAACTATCTCGAGTGCTGAGCTCGGCCCTCGAATAACATGCAACTTTGCAAACATCCAGCACATTCTCAGTAAAAGGCTACTCCATGGCAGTCCTGAACTCATTGATGTCCTCTTCAGCATTTGTGATCTGGATCGCTATAGTCAACTGACTGCACATGGGCACATTGACTTGATGGATCACATCCACACGATTTTACCAGAGGTCGGTGACCATAGACTGCAGGTGCACTTTATCACAAGACTGCTTGCAAGGGCCATGCCGCAGCCATTACCCAATGCAGATGAACTAATCGAGCAAGCTCTTGCACATCTTGACGATTTCAATGACCCAGCTCTGCGATGTAAAGTTTTTCCCCTACATTCTGACCTTGATCTGATGAATTTTGCAGCGCGGTTCTATAACCTGGTGGCACAACATTATAGACTGAGCAATGACAAGCTTAAATCTCTGTATTTCTGTGAAACTGCTCTCTCTTTTGCAATCTCAACTGGGCACACTGTGGGCCAGTCACAAGCGTTGGAACAGCTTGCAGCAATCATGTATCAGGCTGGGGATTATCACGCGGCCCAAGTACATGCAAAGGAAGCACAAAGAGTGGCCTACATTGCTGGGAATTTATTTATCCTGGCTAGGGTCCTCCACATTGAAGCAGCTGCTTGCTCATTTTACGGCAATTATAAGGAGAGCATCCGACTCTTGAGCAGAGCAAGAGATAGTCTCATACTTTGCAATCTCTCCGGTGGAGATGCAGATAATGTGTGCCTGAGTTCTCAGGCAGAGGTCCACCGGTTGAAATCAGAATATACTGAGGCACTGAGTATCCAGACCCAGGTGCTCCACAATGTCACACATTCTCAAGACTCATACAAGCAAGCACTTGCCTTCCACAACATTGCACAACTTCAGGTGGAAACTGGTACCTCTGGGCAGGAAATCCTGAGAAATGTGGAGTCAGCTACTATCATATTCAGCTCTATCAAATATTCATTCGGACTCACATGGTGTGAGACTACCAGAGCGGCTCTCCATCTCCGAGAGCGTGAATTATCTGAAGCAAAGCACCTCTTCCATAAGTGTTTCAAAACCGCCTGCGGACAGCGAGAAGAGGCAGTAAGTCACTGTCTGGAGAGACTTGGGGACATTCAGCAATGGAATGGTATCCTTGGGCAAGCATGGACGACAGTCTTCCTGGTGCATAGCCTCAAGCAGAAACTGCAGCTAGAAATCCACAAAGCTCTGCAATTCCTTGGAGATCTCTTCCTGGATCACTTTGATGATCTCCACACAGCTATCAACTTGTTCACCACTGCTCTAGATGGATTTACGTACCTGGATGTGCACCGCAGCAGAGGAGAGTGCATGATCCGACTTGGAGACATTTCAAAGCTGCAAGGGAACATGATTAAGGCAGAGGAGTTTTGGAAAGGAGCACGGCCATTGCTTGAACGCTCATCTCAGGTGAAGCAAGTTATCGATGTCGATGAGAGACTTACTGGGATGATGTCCGTCGGAAGCACAACTTGAAGGGCCGCACGGGCTGAATAATCTGGTCCCTTTTTGTATGTACTAGTAGTACTCACCTGTTTCAATGTATTTTGGAGAAATGTAATTTTCGTTCACCACCGGGTAATGTTGAGAATGCACGGGAAAGCCGATCAGAGTCGAAATCTGCAAAGCAAGTTCGTGCTCACCGCAATTGACCGGGCCTTTGAATGCAACGCTGTGGCCCTATGTATCTATTAGGAATCGTGTTTGAGGCTCGGGAATCTTCCGATTTGCATACATCAAGACGTCAGCGTGTGAGGAAGATTGGGCACGGACGGACGGACGCCGAGGGTCTTAGCTCTGCACGGGAGGTGGTCATTCATGAGTCTGACTAGCTGCCGTGGTGCGACGAGCCAGATCAGGAAAGTAAAAAAGGCCGCATGCGCGCAGCGGGACCAGATGTTGGCACAGACAGGAAGAGGAGGGACAACAGAGAATCTGTAGACTGCAGCGGGTAGAACGTGGAAAGCGGATGATCGACCGGAGGTGGCACAGACACCTTAAGTGTGCCGCAGGGGAATGAAGACAAGGTCGGGATGCGAAGTGCCAGAGAGAAACTCCCCACGTACCCTTGCGGAAGGCACGGACACAGCGGGCACGACGGCGCGAAAAAATATCAGACTGTGGAGGGAGGGAGCGGGAGCGGAGTCGCGGCGGGTAAACGCGTATAGAGGGATTGAGGCGCGGTACATACACTCCACCAAGGCTCCCGTCTCGGGAACGCTGCACGGGAGCGCTGGCGATGTGATAAAAATGGCGCTGACCCAGCGGGGAGGGGCTGGGAGGGCTCCCCGCACGATGGCACACATGCGACGGTGCGAGAATCAACCGAGTGCAAGCGGAGTGACGGCGTACAACGGGGTACAATACTCGCGTAGGACCGCCGCCTAGGAAGCTCCGATGCCGTGACGCCGACACGCATCCAGCGACAAAGGCGCAGATCAGAGGCAAGGGGGTGCGAGCCGGTCAACCCGGCACCTAGGGCTGGTAGGTAGGTCCAGCCGCCAGGCCAGAAAAAAAATAATGACTTGTTTGGGATGGACCTAGAACTGCTCCAAACATCGTCTGGGGTGCGAAGAAATGATGCAGCATCTTCACTTAGGCTCAAATAAGGTGTTTTACATCCTTCGCGGCATTTGCGGGGAGTTTGATTAGTTTATCTGAACGAACTTGAACTCAGGTTGACTAATGAGCACTGGGATTCCTCAAATAAAGGTCTCAACACACAACCAGAAACCAGTCTTGAATGTTCCTCTGCAAATGGAGGATTGGATCCGGAATACCCAAGGAATATTCCTAATTACCTCGAATTCACGCCGAGCAAGAGTGGGAGGAGTTTAATCTGAGATTTAAGACATTCTAGGTAATAACAATCATTTGAAGGTGTTAACTCACTCACAGAGACATCTTGGAAAGTAAATTGTATGCTTTACAGGGCGGTTGAGCTCTCCGGGTTTAGTTTGATGGCAGTTCTGGACCAGCCGACGTGGGAACATTACCCGATATGGGCGTCACGTGGTAGGTAGGTTCGGTTTCAAAGAAAAGACGGCGTAAGGTATTTTTTTTTCTAAACAGAAACCCCTTGACGACAGCTAGGTCCTTCAGCGCGAGTCGTTTCCATGATTTTCCTACGATCGTTGAGTACGCTCGTAGGGAAATCATCGAGGATTCCTCGAGATGAGAACACCAGAGGCCCACGATTTCCTGGATCCGTAGGCAATAGTGCATCCAGATGACGTCGAAAAGAAGCGAAGCTTGCCGCTGGCATGTTTTGATGATCCGCATCAACCTTTTGACATTTTGATTGTGCCGTTTCACCTCTTTTGTTCGCATTTTCGCGTCGCCTATTGTGATTTCTGTGTCTACGCGCTGGCCTTGATTTCCCATCGTTCATGTGGAGTTTCTGCGAGCTCGCAATGGATCCATGATCACTTCTGAGGGGATTCTCTTCTAGGTTATTCCGACTAGTACGCCACGAGCTCTCCATAATTCAACATACTATATGTTTCGCCCTGAAGTGCAAGAAATTTTTGATAGGATTTTTTCGGACAAACGACCATACAATTACACCCTCGGCTTCTAGAAAGAGTATTCTTAACATCTGAAAATGCTGAATCCGAAGTGGCTTAATTTTTGAGCCAGGACTGAGGGCGTAGTGAAGATGCCGAGGAAGGTCTAATTTTGATTGAGGATTTTTCACGGAAGTGCAAGCCATCAAAAATCGAGTATCGATTTTTGTGTGGCCTCAGGTCTTCATCCATGGCTTGTCTGACTTTATAGATCCCACCTTGGGTGACATAGCGTAGTGCCTGATTTTTTTTTCTAAGCAATCTGAGCTTCATTGTGGCCGGAAAATCGAAATCTTGCACTTCCCCATCACCTTGCACTTCAGGGGCAAAGATAGTACACCGGTCTACCTTCGACGCGTGCACGTCCGAGGTGAGACGCTGACCTTCGACGTCATATATTAACTTCCCGCAGACCATTCAATCGGATTCATTGCTGGCTTCTTCTGGTCGTCTACGGACCCCGCCAATTCCGGCCGCGGGGTCTCTTGGATAGGATGAACGACGGCACCCCAACAAGTTTTGTCGCTGGAGGTGAGCACCATGTCTCGATTTTTGTTGCGGTTGGTTTCACTCAATTCCATTCATTCACAGCTCCTGCCGGCACTTACAACAAGCTCATACCGCCCAACGGCCCGGTATGTGCTTCCTTTTCCTTTTCTTGTTTTATCGAGAGAAACAGTCTCTTATCTTTCTTTTTGTAGTCGTATGGACCTCCTCCACCGTTACACGGTGTCTCAGTGTGAACTTTGGACAAATGATCTAGAGCCGATATTTTCAGGAACCGCGGAATTTTAATACTTCACATAATCCTTGCAATTCATTTCAGTTGGTGGCTCCATTTCAGTCTTTCGCAGGCATTGGGACGGAGACGATTCAACTTCTAACCACCAGTTTTTACGTTTCGGCCGCCCTGCAAAAATCGCGGCCTTGTAACAATCCAATAAGGCATTGGATTCACATTTTTTGATGATATACCGTTCCCCATTGGGCTGGTCCAGATCCTCCAAAAATCCATTAGTGTGAAGAAATGATTTTGAGTTGGACAAAAGTGAAGGCAGCTTAGAGGATCCTCAAGACAACACGACAAAGACAGCCTGCCATCGAAAGTTTGACTCGGAGCCGACAAAGAGTAAGAAAAAGTGAAGGGGAAAAAGCGCTCAAAATTTATGTGCATGGCCCAGGCCTGGATCGAACAGGCGCCTTCCGCGGAAAGTTTTGTCGAAACGTACGACAGATAAGCGGGCGCGATACCACTTCGCCACTGCGTCCCTTGAAATGCCAGCTTGAATAGCAAGCATCCAGTGCAGACACGAGGATCATGGTACATCGATGAAAACCTGGACCCGAGAGAGCAGAATTCGCTTTCCCGCAGATCTATCTGGGAGAGGTTATATATCTGATGTGAGGGGAAGAAACGGGAGGTGTGAGCCCGATGAAAGGTGAGAAGAAAAAGGGAAGAGAAAAAAAGAGAAAAATTGCCTCAATCCACGACCCAGACCCGAATCGAACAGGTGTCTTCCGCGGAACATTTGAAAATCATATGACAGAGTGCGGATGCGAAACCACTTCGCCACTGGGTCCATGCTACTCAACATCCCAGGTCGAATAGGATCGACACCTTCCAGATGAGCAGTGCCCGAAAAAGTACGCCAGAAGAAAGCGGTGCGCCCTATTTATCTCTATTTACCCTCTCTTCATGTCGAAACGGCCAAGCTCTCCCTCTGCGTCTGGCGCGGTGATCAAGCGGGCCAAGGGGACGCCCCCGCCGTCGAACCAGATTGCCATCTCGTCGTGCACGGACAAGAGCAAAGGGCTGATCCGGACGGTGCAGCTAGGGCTCTAACCCGTCCGACCCGTACGACGGGTCGGGTATTTACGGCCGTTTTTGACCTGACCCGTACCGTACCCGACCCGTAGAGAAAGTCCTCGGGAGCCCCTACGGCCGGGTCCCGGCCGTACCACGGGTTACGGCCGTAGCGACGGGTCTGGTCGCACATTTCCTTTTTTGGGATTCCGGTTGCGTCTTGGGACTGCTGATGGATGTTTTAAACACCTGACCTAGCGAAATCTTCTCGGGGACTCGGAGAGCAGCAACTCTTGAATTTTGATGGGGACTACGGAGAGTATCAAGCTCGTCGTTCGCTGCGATGTTCGATGGTTTCAACTATGAAAACCCCAAAATCTTGCTCAATGCATATAAAAACCAACATCTGGCTCTTGAAAACCACTGATTGAGGATTATTTTAAATTCGCGTCGCGAGGTTAACACCAGCCATTAGCAAACGGGTGGTCTACACACCATCAATGAGAGCCATGAAGCCCGACGAATTATCGGAGGTCACGAAACCACATTTGGGTTCACTTTAGGCTGGTACGCACCGCTCCCTCTACCTAATTTCGTTCCTTTATAGGTTAACCCGTACAACCCGTAGACGGCCGGTTACGGGTGACCCGTTTACGGGTACACCCGTCCCGTAGCCGTCCCGTAGAGAAATCCAATCTTTGGCTCTACGGCCGGAACTCGTACCCGTAAAACGGCCCGTGAACCCGTGGGCTACGGGAACGGGTGAGAGCCCTAGGTGCAGCGCACGAGCAACCTCGATGCGCCCATCATCAGCCTCGCGGGCGCGCATTCAGTGAGCACTCTGCGCGTTTTTTTGGCGGTAAATCTTAGGTGTTGGTACAGGGCGAGATCCTGAGCTGTCGGTTCGATCCCACGGGGCAGAACATCGCCGCGTGCAGCGCGGACCGGTCTGTCTGTACGTCGCGTTCTGCTGCATCTTTTACGCCGGTTTGACGAGTCGCTTGCAGCCCTGTGGCGCACGTACGCCCCGCATGCAAACTACGCGCTGTTCTCCTCCCTCGCGGCCGCGCCGATCACGGACCTGCATTGGTCCCTCTCCTCGCCGCACCTGTACACCGTCTCTGCAGACCGCACCCTCACGACGACGGACAACACCACCGGCCAGCGCGTGCTCTCTAGTGGCTTGCGTTGGATTTTCAAGCCGACAAAAACGGCGAAGTAAAACTCAAATCGCCGTGTATCAACAACGTATCGCAGGAGCACAATGGCGCGCTTGTTGCGGTTATTGAACGCGTGATGCAGCGCGCTGTATCGTTGTGGGAGAAGGTCCTTTCTTCCCTCCGCAACGAGCCGGTTCCTTCACGGGTAGAACTTGTATCTCCAGTCGAGTGGGATGAGGCCCGTGCATTTGGAGCGGTGAAGCTCCAACGAGCCTAATGATGAAGCCGACGCGGAAGAACTAGAGGACCCTGAGGCGTGGATACACCGCTGCCCTGTCGCTGGATCGCTGGTTCTCCCAGATGCGCCGCCGGAATACAAAGATACATTGGGAGACAACATGGTCAATTCCGTCGAACTCGCGAACTCGACCATTCAAGCCATTGTCCTGACGCCGGCGAAACTTGGGTACCCAGGTGGCGTGCGGTATGTCGAAGGTGAAGCGATGCCTTTAATCGATTTTTTTTATTCGCTGACGTCCTTTTCACAGGGATGGCCACCGAATCGATCGTCGCCACGTTCATCTATTACTATGAATCGGAAAAATCGAGCCATGAGTTGCGACAGTTCCAGCGGGCTACCATGAGCAAGAGGATAGCGCATGTACGGAGATTCTCTACGGCATGAAAGGGTAACTTCTTGTTGTGTAGTTCGTAAGTACTCTGACATTCGCCCCAGGGACGATCCATGTGTTCAGGACATTGGTTCGATCGCCTAACGCTGGGCGGTGTGTCACATTCCCCAACCTCTATCAACACCGGGTGGGTCTCAGAGTGCACTTATCTCCAAGACTTGTCACGTCGTGAATGTATTTACATGTACATGTAGGTCTCCCCGTTCAAGCTCACGGACAGAATAAACTTGGTGTTCGCAAGATTCTGGTATTTTTAAATTTCTTCGTGGACCGACCGTTCGGGTGTGTGCCGCCGCAGCAGTTTCATGTGGTCAAAAGCATTCTTCGTTCCCAGGGAGCGGGCCCGGGGTCACGGCTGTCCTCGCTGCCCGTGGAATTACCGGACCGCATCGCGCGGGTGGTTCCGGGAGTCAAGTCGCGCGCGGACGCGGAGGTGATGTGCGACGAGCTGATGGGAGGGCGCACTATCGTGCTCAAAATGTCAACACCCAGTTCTTTGAGCGTGCGTGTTTATCTTGCAGTTCGCCGACTGGTTTGGTTGAAATTTCTTTGAACTAAGAATTCAACATGTGGTGAGTCGCGGCAAATTATTCTTGAGCTATTTCGAGGCTTGATATATTATGTTTTCTTGATAATGAACCCTGAATGTCGTTTACTTATTTCTGGTTCTGGTGTCTTCGAGCCGTTAGCTATGCGTGCAATTTCACCAAAAAATCAAAAAAAAAAAAAATGTGTTGATGGACAAAAGAGAAGGCAGCCTGAGAGGATCCTCAACAAAAAAAGAAAAGACAGCCTGCCATCGAAGGTGTGAATCAACCAAAGGTGAGAAAAAGTGAAGGGGAAAAAAAATCTTGAAAACTCAAGCATGGCCCAAACCCGAATCGAACGGGTGTCTTCTAGAATCTTGTCAATATCAGTACACAAGTGAGCGAATGCGATACCACTTCGCCACTGGGCCTTTGATCTGTATTGGAATGCGAGGTTCAATATGCCTAACGCAGCATCGAAACAGCGACAGGCCAAAAAAATGTCCTCGACACCGACCCCGACCCGAATCGAACGGGCACCTTCCGCGGAAGATTTCCTACTAGCTTACCTACAGTAAGCGGGTGCGATACCACTTCGCCACTGGGTCCACACTACTGAAGCTGAGTACTAGTTGAGTAGCAACCATCCGGCGGGGACACGATGAGCAGCATCACGGTACATGGCACTGTAAAATTTGCGGTAGATTCATAAAAACCCAACAGAGCAGATTTCGCTTTCCCATGCACCTAGAGATCCCAGCTCGAATAACCCCGACGGAGCGTTGAAAAAAGCGAGAGTAAAAAGGTATGACCCAGACCCGAATTGAACGGGTGTCTTCCGCAGAAACTGAACATTCCATTCACTGAAAGTCTAGCAGATGCGATACCACTTCGCCACTGGGTCCATGCCACACAGAAAAGCCGGCTTGAATAAAGTGATGAACCCCGGATGGGTAAAACACAAGTGGGGGGGGGGACATTAGCCAACTCTTACGACCCAGACCCAAATCGAACGGGTGTCTTCCGCGAAAACTACGCATGCGAGGACCTAAACTGCGCAGATGCGAAACCACTTCACCACCGGGTCCATAGCACCTGAAACCCAGCTCAAATATTGTTATGGACCTGGCAAGCTGTCCGCTGAAGCCTTCCTGGACCCGGAATTCGAAAGAGCGATCACATTTTTCTTCTTGTTCTTCTTCCCCATTTACTTTGATTCTGACGCGCAGACCAGCCAGGCAGCGGAGGATTAATTGCACAAGTGCAGCTCGGCGTCACCATGTAAGGGAAGGAATTCGAGATCCAGTGAGTAGTGACTCTTTGCGGTTGCTTTGCGGCGTGGACGGAGATATGAAACAGTTTGAGGAGAGGCGGTGGCAGGCTCCCAGTCTCAGTGCTACCAGTTGAGACACAGTAATCAAGCCACGTTGAGCTGGTGCCAAGGATGGCCTTGAGTGCCGAGAATTGGTCTAGAGAGAAGCTGTGCTTGATTAGCTTATATACAATGAGGGTTTGTGTGAAGAGAGCCACGTGGATTCGTGTATTGATGTCTATCACTAATTGCCATCGCACCGCCACAACGACCAAACACCGATGCGGAACCGAAGCAGTTTTTTTAAACGGCCACCGCCGTGACTCACTCGCTCTGTACATCTTCGATGGCCCCACCACCCCTCATCGGCGACGCGCACGGAAACTTCAGAGTCCACATCGTTGGAAACTGTGGTAAGCTCGTCATGGGAGCGTGAAGAGCCAGTCAATTGATTGTGCGCGTGGTGCCTTCAGGTACGGGCAAGGGAAGTGGCCGATGTGTCTGCAGTCGGGACATAGTATGCTACCCATTTCATTGGTAATTACAGAGCACCGTCGGAAAGCAGCTCGCGGAGCTCCTAGGCGTGCCCTTCATTTCGCTCGACACCCTCTACTGGAAGCCCGGTTGGCAGGAATCGACCAATGAAGAGATGCGCGAGAAAGTGTCCAGAGCGCTGGCTAGCTCCCCAAACGGCTGGGTTGTCGACGGCAATTACTCTAACAAAGTCGGCACCTTGGTACACGACCGCTCGACGGACACGATTTGTGAACATCCTGTTGTGCATTTCTTCGTTCGAGGACGAACTGACCCTTCCGTTCGACTAGGGCTTGACCCACCATTGATTATGTACCTCCCCCGGATTATCATCCGCACATTCCTGCGCATGCTCAATCTAGGCGCGCCCTGCAGCCCGGGCTGCCCAGAGATGCTATCGAAGCTTTTTTCCAAGGAAAGCATCGTCTGGTGGTGCATCACGAACCACAGGCACGCTCGCAAACGCGAGGGCGCTCGGATGGCAGAGATCGGCATGGGCGTGGGTAGCAATGTCGAGGGGCGAAAGATGCGGAGGCTTGGAGGATGGGGAGGCGAGCTCCGCGCTTGGCTTGATGATGTGAAGCGTATGCTTCAACGCAAGTAGTGGAACCTTGCTAGATTGGTTCTGGCTGTACTCAATGCCCTGATTACTTATGGAGCTGCTCCTTACGTATGTTCAACACAGCGGACGGACCGCTGCGCGGTCCGTCCTCGCCTTTCCGAAGTTCTGAGGTTTGCCTCCAGTTTATCTGTTCAATCTCCAATGAACACCTAGTATTTAGACAGCCTGAGTGAGACTCAGATGTCGTGACAGTAGGTTTAAAATGTTGGTTTGAATGAGGGAGCGCCAATAAAGAACAACAAAGGAGTTTGATTTTATTGGTGGGAGCGATTCCTCTGGGACTCATGTCTGAGATAATATGTTCCATGCCGGCGGGAATTTCTCCCAGAAAGACGCGACGCGACTGTCACGTGCCCAACACGTGCCGCGAAACGTTTCAACTCTTCCGAGAAGTTTAAAGCTGATATTCCACAGTCTTGGGGTTGATGAGCCAAAAGCGGAGAGTTTAAAAGGCTTCGGACAGACATGCTTAATTTTATAAAGAGAGAGAAGAGAAGAGAAGAGAGAAGACCATCACTGGCGGTGTACAATAAGAGCAAACAACACGTCTTCTGTTCTTGCCGCCATCTGCGACGCGACATGCACCTATATGCGCGCTTTTCTTGCTCTTGGACCGTCCTGAGGGCCGTGTTTCTCTGGTGATCACAAAAATCTTTGAAGATATAGCCCAACCATCGCTCTCAGAGCTTCCAGGCCTGAGGCCTCGTTCTGCCCGACAAGCTTCCGCACGACCACTTCAACTGCCTCGATGACGAACATCAGACTATACTCTCCAGTTGGCCGGATCCTTTACTATCCGGCCGTAATATTTCCCCGTCAATACCAGCTAGAGGCTAAGAACGCACTCTCGGATGCCCTCGACATCATCGTCAGTTCTGGCCCCTGGCAATACATTGTGTCGAAATTTACTCAATCTTCCATCCGGAAACCACATCCGCGACTATCCGCTGGAACGATTGCAAGCGATGCGTTTTCTTGAAGTGTCAATCTGCTGCCGCCGCCTGAAATTAATATCCTCTTTAGGCTGCCGACTTTTGAGCTACGGAAAATTTTGGACAAGGTATAGTAGTCAAGACAATTGTAACGATACAGATCTATGGAGTGTGAGTCGGTTTACTTACACTGATCTTCAAGTTCCAAGTAACTAACCTAGAAAATATGTATAGACCCTTTCTTTAGTCGTGCAGCCCGAACGAAAATAAATCGCTCCCCTGGACCCTCCCAGTTCTCTCCCTTTGGTTACAACTTCTAGACGGACCTCCGCTGTCTGGTACCCTACACCGCCAACGGTCGGCCATGTAGTCCCCACCTGGGCGCAACATGTGTGCGAGATGTCATGAGATGATGGCCACCAGCTGTTTTTCGGGTGGGTGCCAGGTTCAGGAGCCAATAGGTCCAGCATGGAACCAGGTTGAGCTGACTGCCAGCTGGAGTTCTAACATGGCTCAGAGCTGAGCGGACACAGGTCATATTTCTTGCTTACCAGCGGCCCATACCACTTTATTTTTCCTTGCTCGACCAATGTATAAATGAACAATGATTGAATTCACAATGTATCTATTCGGCCTCGGCGGAGGTTGCCGCGTCAATTGCTCCCGCATCAATAATATTGCCGACGGACTCTTGGAACTCGTCGAAATTCTCGTTGTCGAGCTTGTAGTCTTTGACGCCGTGGGTGGCCTGGTCTTTCTCAAGGAGATGGGTAAAACCCCTAGAAGGTGGTTGCACCAGAGAAGTTAACACTGTTCGTGATCTTCGACGGCTTGAGGGCATCTTCGACGACCGTTACCAGTTGGCCAAGAACATCTTGGCATCCACAGGGATGTCTTCATCATTGCCCAGCATGGCTCCACGGCTGTGCTTTGTAGCCCCGCGAGGAGATGGGGCCAACGGGCCCATGGCATCTGGCATGCCACGATAATTGTCATTGTCAGCAGGGGCAGTGCTTGCGCGACCGCCAAGGCGGAAACAGTATGACTTGCTTTGAGGCCTTGAACGGTCCAGAATTGGGGCTTGAGGATGAACACGGGGAGCGCGAAGAAGTACAAAGATATCTCCGCAAAAACAACGTAATTTGAAGACCAGGCTTGAGGGGTTGACACGGCTGGACGGCCGGGGCAGAGAGGAGTTGAAGCTCGGATGAGAGGATTGGTTGATGAGGCAGAATAAGAGGGAGACCAGGCGATGCCACATATGTACAAGTAGGATCGTTGAGAGGAGATAGATGTCTCCCTCGCTGGGATTTGGATACGAGCACGGGGTTTACTTGAAGTGAGGTGTGAGAATCAATGTGGCTTTGGGGAAGGAGACAAGCAAGGAGAAGGATTTCTATAGTAGAGCAATATGGGGTGGAAGGCAAGGCGGAAGGTGAAAGTGGGAGAAAAGAAAGCCGCACGTCGCTTGGCGGCCAACATGCACGTGATGATAGATGCCGTACCAAACAAACGCACGGACCCCTTCATCAGTTTGCATCATCCACCACTTGTCCACCACAGTCAATTCACGCAAGAGGCAGTTTGTTCCGAGTCATACTGGGGCAAAGAAAATATTAATGGTACACTCAGCAAGGAGTCTTCTGCTTCCAGGAGCACTACAGTGTCCGAGTCGGCCGAAGGCGGGCGATGGACTTTGGACAGACTCGATGTGTTGTAGTATGTAAATTTTGTTTTATAGCCATGGTGTGCAAAGCCGCCAGGTTTTTATAAAGAAACTGGGGTCTGGTCGGAGGCTGGCTGCAAAATGCTGCATCCATGTGGGTACGCAACTGGTGGAAGGCTGGAATCTTAGCTGAAGTGTGCAGCTGGCATCTACCTGGGGCCAGGTTCCGAGACTGCTGGCCTCTACCTGAGAATCCCAGCTGGTATACACATGCTGGCACTTTGGCGGTGTACCTCCCCGGTTGGAAAGGAAAGCTGTGCCCAAGATTTGCCTCTATTTACCATCTCCCTCCTTCTCCTCCCGAGTCCCAACATGTCAAAACGGGCAGGTTCTCCTTCTGCGTCTGGCGCGGTCATCAAGCGGGCCAAGGGGACACCCCCGCCGTCGAACCAGATTGCTATCTCGTCGGGGACGGACAAGAGCAAAGGGCTGATCCGGACGGTGCAGCGCACGAGCAACCTCGATGCGCCCATCATCAGCCTCGCGGGCGCGCATTCCGTGAGTGAGCTGCGCGTTTTTCTTTTGCGTATACTGAGGTATTGGCGCAGGGGGAGATTTTGAGCTGCCGCTTCGACCCGACGGGGCAGAATATCGCCGCGTGCAGCGCGGACCGGTCTGTCTGTACGTCGCGTTCTCCAGCATCTTTTACGCCGGCTTGACGAGTCGCTTGCAGCCCTGTGGCGCACGTACGCCCCGCACACAAACTACGCACTGCTGTCCTCCCTCGCGGCCGCGCCGATCACGGACCTGCAGTGGTCCCTCCTCTCGCCGCACCTGTACACCGTCTCCGCGGACCGCACACTCACGGCGACAGATACGACCACCGGCCAGCGCGTGCGCCGCATCCGCGCGGCGCACCGCGAGGTCGTCAACGCGCTCGACCGCACCGTCGCGGGCGCCGGGGGGACGGAGCTCGTCGCGACCGCGGGCGATGACGGCGCGGTGCGCGTGTGGGATCTGG